TTTTTGTACGACCTAATATATAAATGAGGTTTATACATTTTCTTATAAGAAAAGTGCTCGTGCAATGCCTTTTGCTATATCTTTACACTACGATACTAGAAATCTTTCAAGGCAGCTGCCTACATTCTTTACGGTACCTCGACTTTGAATTTATCTTTTGCACGTTGCTGTGTTGAAGTGCAGGCTCTGTGACGCATTTTCTCTAGGGGGGGGGGGAGCTCCATAGTATGCTATGTTACAAAACCTAGCTGTATATCCTGACATACGATACGCCAAAATTATTTCGTGTGTCTTAAAGTATGCAAGGTTAACATTTTCCAGCTTTCCTCTTGCTATCAGATCATCATAATACACAGCAACATTTGTTATGATTAACAAAATAAATACTAATGACATCTGCTATGACCACAAGCAGCTTTTCAAGCTTTATTTTTCATGGGTTCATCTTTAGTCTCTCCCCTTCAGTGAAAGCTCATCCTGTTTTCACACATATCATTGTTCAAGTAAATTTATAAAGTAAAATGTTATCATAATGATGAACTCTTCATTTATCACTTAGAAATAAAATGTAAATATATTTCTGAAAACGAGATTTAGCATTAAATTAATTTGGACTGACTGACAGAAACTAACACTTCAGTAATGTAGTTTAAGCCCAAAACTACACAATGGGCTATCTGTGCTCTGCCAACCACAAAATGTCATGTAATATTGGATATATTAGCTTATTTTTTATATTTTCGGAAAATAACAATAGGTAAATAACAGCATTAAAAATTATGACAAGAGTATTACAAAATTATATCCATACTTCAAGTAACAAAGTTTCTTCACGGAGAAAAATTTGAAATCCACTGCCCTGTTTTATTCAAACAAGTCTACATTCTTGAACGGATTACGACGCACCCAGCACCTCTCAGTTATTTCAGATTAATATGGTATTCATACTCATGGGTTTTCGCATTATTTTCCTCGTATCTTTCCCTCTACAGCAGTGTTTTTCAAACGGTGGGTCGCGACCCCGAGCAGATTTCCTGGGGTCTGTGCCGAGTCAACAATTTTTTTTTTAGGCCTTGAGGTGTCTGAGAGGTGTACATATCACCTTTGTTAGGAATTATGACGAACTGTTTTTTCATCCTTGTAGAGATAATGGGGGGTCGCGATGACCAAAGCCCGGACGCCGAGGTCATCTTGCAAATCCGGCTCAGAAACACTGCTCTACAGCCTGACCTGTATCTAACATTTAAGTCTAACAGAAGAGGAACATGAACGTGCCAGGAATATTGCATATATGAAGATCTAAATACAAATGTGTTTTAACTTGTCTTTCTTTGTTGTGTTTGTCTGGTATTCTGTAACATAGTTCTTAATTTAATATTAACTAACATGTTTCAAATCGTTGCACTTAAAAATATTTTTTTATGCGCAGAATCGAAAAGGGTATCATTTTTTAGGAAGCTAGCAAAGTGAAACTTACTTTCTTACAATTACTTTACATCTGAAGGTGGAATAAATGTATTCTTGACCCATCCGAACCTTTTGTAAATAAAAATGTTTTCTTATCAGCCGTCTTTATCGTTTGTTTTATTACCTTTATTACCCTTCATATGTTTGTATATAATTGGAACCTCATCTGTTTACCTTCATACTATTCCAAAGTGGATCATACTTCCATCAGCTGTAAGGAAGTTTAAGGTTTAACAGGTTCCTTGAACGAAAGGTAAACATGCATTTCAAAAATTCCGACAACGGGATGAGAATGTTGATTATCCTGTAACAGTGTTTATTTGTTTGTTTGCTTTAGAGCAAAGCCACAGTGGGCTACCTGCTATGTCCACCGCGGGTAAACGAACCACTGATTTTATTGGGACTACTTTTTTATAATAGTAAGTGCAATACAGTGTTTAAAGTGTCGTACGTATTTTATATTTTGATATCGACTTCCCCGCTCAGTTGAGTCTTCATGTATAACATGAAGGCATCAAACTTAAATGGTCATCAAGCTCGAACTATTTTTTGTCCATTTACACTAGATCTTTGTGAAAACAGTTTGAGTTATTTTATGAAATTAAATCAAAATTAGTTTAGCTAGTTTCTTTCAAAAATTTGTGACACCAGACAAACGGACAACTTGTCTTTATATGTTTATATACTAGCTGGAGTACCAGTCCCCTGGACTGAAGTTATGTAAATTCATGATTAATGAAAGGTTATCTCAGGATATGAAAAGTTGTTTCTCTTATATATAATTGTAAAAACGCACATAAAAACTGCAAAACATAAAATGCGAAACCGCAAATTTGCCTGTATCTCTGCATGGACTCAACAAGCCTTCGTGCCCAATTTGATGAAGATCCATCATCAGGGGGCGAAGTAGTGGTAAAAACGCAAACACGCCCATAAAAGTCAGAAAATGCAAAACTAAAATTGTGTATGTACCACTGCATGGACCTAATGAACTTCCATACCCATTTTGGTGAAGATCCATCCACACCCTGTGAAGTAGTTACATGAACATACAACAGACAGTGTTATTATATTTATATAGATACATAAATTATGCACTCTTGGTGAGTCTATCTCGTCACATGAACAATGCAATGATGGGTAAGTTCCTTAGAACAATACTTTGATTGATCCCTAATGATTTGTGTTTCAGACCATGTGAACTACATGGTTGAAGCTAATTTCTGTGACTCTCTTTTCATCAAAAGATACACAACGGGGCTAATTTAATTCGAACAACAACAGAACTTATTATAAAGTTTAGTAATATAGTTTAAAGCAGATTTTATAGGACCAATAAGAAGCACTGGAGCATGTAAAATTATTTGTGTCATTTCGTTCCAGAGCATACTATATAAGAAACTGATCTGAATTTCGCGCAAAGCTACACGAGGGCTATCTGCGCTAACCGTTCCAAATTTAGCAGTAATAGACTAAACAACTAATAGACAAGTCAACACCATCCACCGCCAACTTTTGTACTATTCTTTTATCAACGACTAGTGGGATTGCCGTCACATTATAACGCCCCCACGGCTGAAAGGGTGAGCATGATCGGTGGCAGGGATTTCAACCCACGACCCTCAGATTGCGAAACGAACGCCTTAGCCACCAGGCCTATAAGAAATTGTTTTCTGTCTTTATACAACTCATCATTTTCAAACTATGTGTATCTGTTTAAGTCCAACAAGCTTGCCCCCCAGTGGCACAGCGGTATGTCTGCGGACTTACAACGCTAGAATCCGGGTTTCGATACCCGTGGTGGGCAGAGCACAGATAGCCCATTGTGTAGCTTTGTGCTTAATTACAAACAAACAAACCAACAAGCTATTTTATCTTAACTCAGTAACTGTATAAAAATGATGTTTCAATCCAACAAG